GGAGGGGGGGGGACAAGGGTTTACAAATGTTCTCAAAGTTGCTAATAAAACCAAAACAGTAGGGGAAAAACATTTAACACCATTAGTTAATAATCATCAGTAATGCTTGAAAACCAGGTCTAGTGTTTACAGGTATTTCAATACTCCAAGTCCTTCATAAACAGCTCCTTTCCCCCATTCCATCTCTCTCAAAATTAAAACGGACACTAAAACCATAAGACACATAACACATTTTCCATGCATTCTCACATCTTTTGCTACCTCACTAGTGAATGAATACTTCATGTAAATTCATCACTGTGCTGAGGGAGATAATAAAATTATAGAACAGGAAACCTATTTGGCGTGTTCATGAAGAAAAAACACATGGCTGAACATATCTATCGTGATCTTTTGCGAAGCAGAGGGGATATCGTCTAATTTCAAGTGTATTCTTTTTAGCTGGGTCCGTCCTTGTACACAAAATGAACATAAACATCAACATCCAACCCTTGTGTATAAGTTAGCTGCACTCTCTAAACGGTTTATACCACTCTCTGCATACGTTACAAAATGTGCGTATTTCCCCATATCTGAAATATTATGCAAGTAAAGGGGAAGAAGCTTGTTCAGTTCAGGAGCTGGGAGGAACAAAAATGTGGACCATCTGACAGGGAGCTGGGGGGAGCAGAAACCTGTACCGTCTGGGGGTCCCTGACAACCCCGTTGGGAGACACTGAAATAAGCCTGTGTCAGTCCAATCACGTTTACATTATTGTTTCACATAATTTTTTCACATAAAACACTTGAAGAACCATTTCAACAATATATTAATTCTGTGGCATACTAGGTATTAATAAAAACAATGCATAAATTAGCACCTGAAAATTTTATTTATTTATTATCGGTCAGTATAAATGATACATTTTCTCTATCTATCCACAATTCCTGTACCCATGTTAATAGTCCAAGAAGAAAGAATAGGGTTTTAAAATCTGGTTATTGACTTAGCATGGCAATATTTTTCATGTTGTGGTTGCATTGTTTTATTGCAAAACATTTGTCATGATATTAGCTAATTAGGCATGGCACAGGGAATGCGGTACTGAAACTCACAGAACAAATTCCACATTGAATCACTGAATATTGGAGACAAAGGAAAGCACTAGGATGCCCACTGCTAAGCGCTGTACTGCTGAAACCAGGTTCGATTATAAGCAGCCCAACAGACTGCTATGGTCTTAGTCATTGACTTTTATGCTACGTTTATTTATTTGAGGAAGACATTACTATTATTAATGAAATATGGCCATCTTTATTCTCTGCATTCCTAAAAATCAGATTGCATTTGGCAATTTAAATGCAATTAATCTTTCTTTTGTAGATCCCATCAATTATACTGTCCTCATACCACTTATTTGTCATTGGATGTCACATATTTAGGAAACTATTGATGGAGCAGATAATGAACTCAAGTGAAATACTGATCTCACGTTTGTTCATCATTAATGAATCATGACACATGTTTTATCTCAAGTAGCAAATTTGTTCATGATTTGTACTTCGGTAGTAACTGAGTTACTATTGAAGTACCCCTCAAGGCAAGTGTTACAACAGTTTGTAAATGAACTGTAACATTTCCAGTAAGTTTGGTTTGGTTTAAAACACTGGAAGGAGTCATTAGAACAAACAGCCCATAGTTAACTGGAAAAAGAACAAACAAACAAACCACAGTGAACTGGGAAAAGAAAAAACAAACAAGCTGTAGACAACTGGGAAAACTACAAACAAACAAACAAACAAACCACCATCAACTGGGAAGAAAACAAACAAACCAAACAAGCAAACTAAGTGGGGATGAAAAATCACTGATAAACATCTTCTCCCAGCTCCCTTACCTCATGCCATGGTAGACGTCCAGGGGAGACACCTCTCTCTCCTTGGCTATCCTCATCATGTCTAACACCGCCATACCTAAGCACTCCTCCTGGGTCTCGTGACTGATGGCAAGCTCAAATAAGCCACTCACAAAGTCAGCCCGCCACTACAGTGAGAAAAGATTCAGAGAGGGGTTTTCTTTTAATTCATTGGAAAGCCAGACCCAAAAACATTCACTTAATGCAAATATAAGGCTTTAGATCAGGGGTGCCCAAAGTGGGGCCCGCGGGCCAAGGTTGGCCCGCCGTACTATTTAGATTGGCCCGCCAATGAATATCTAAAATTTTAAATTATACTGTACTAAAATTTGTTTCAAAAATTCTTAAAGCAAGAATCCCAATGTAGCTATCAGTGCGTTTACTTTTTAGTGTACGTTGGCCTAACTAATATACAGTCGAACCCGGTTATGTCGCCGGACTAGGGGGTTGCCAAAAAGCGTCGAGATAACCGATGATCGAGATAACCGAAAACCAATATGGCGGCAATATACTGTATTAAGATATGCTTGAAATGTATTTATGTGCGTTAATAAATTAGAATGTACATGCACGGGTTTTTGGCGTTGCCGTGATTTGTTTGATGACGCGATCGGCATGCTATAAAAATGCACATACTGTACATGTCGGCTAACAACAAAAGGCATATGTGCACCAACTAAAAGCGGAGATTTACCAGTATACAATAAAAACCACAGTCGATTCTCGATACAAACCTTTAATTATATTATCCAACACTGCAAACACAAAGATCGCTCACAAAATCACAAAAAAACCTGCGGGGTGTAATTCGTTGTTACAAAAAGCAAATCTGCAGTGTCAAAATTACATTCACAAGTCATTTCGCTCTGACAGCTCTGAAATGTATCGTACACGCAGTTAATATGGTTTCTTTACAAAGTCTAAAATGCTTAGTTGCTTTTTGCCTTTAACAGTCTGCTTGAAAACAAATGCTTCGATATTATTTATGCTGTCTAAAACAGTCCATCCCCTACAAAAGAACCATACTGTCAAATTTTTTGTAGCATTTCTATCACCTCACCGGCAGAGGGAATTGGTTCCAAATCTTCGTCCGCATCTTCTTCATCTTCGTTGTCATTGCCGCATGCAGTTATGCTTGGCTTTGATTTTGATGGGGATTTACCTAGATCGCGTTTCACCTGCGTTGTTCAGCGAATTACCATGCGAATGCGATTTGAATACGCGCTGTTTAGCACTTGTGATACATTTTAAAAAGCCGGCGATTAGTTACGGGGATCGAGATAACCGATGTTAAGTGGCGATTTTGGCCCTCTTTCGTGCTCGAGATATTAGGGTTCGGCGACATAAAAGAATCGACATAACCGATGAGAAATGCTATTGCAATAAGGGAATTTGGCGGTTCCACTTCAAAAACGTCGACTTAATAGGGTTGGCGAGTTAGCTGAGGTCGAGATAAGTGGGTTCGACTGTATATTATACAGTCCTCACTCATGGTGCTTTGATTACATTTGAAATATCTAAGACTAAAATTGAAATACAAGCAACTATAAGGGTAATGTAGAGTATATCTGTGCACATATGTACATTTCCACACTTCATAAATAGTCATATTTTAACAATTTACAAAAAGTCCCATGAGTCTTTGCTTATATTGTTGCTACTGTTGTTGTGTTGCTGTTGGACATGCACTCTTTGACATTTTGCACTACATGTGATTACAAAAGTTTAGACGTGCTCTAAATGCCTATATATGACTTATTTGTCATATTTTGTTTAATGTTATTTACACAGAAAGGAAGGTTAGATAACTGTTTGATAAATAAAAGTAGCCTACTTTACTTTACTATTAGTGTTTGTATTTTGTGTAAAATATTACATTTGGCCCGCGGTCCTCCGATAGATTTTCATTTTGGCCCACTAAGGGAAAATGTTTGGGCACCCCTGCTTTAGATCATTTAGTTACAGTAGTATTTCCTTTGAGTTGAATTCCAAGTCTCATTTTATTTCCTTATCACAGAGACTTGGCAAGAAAAACCATATAATTACCTTTTCCACTGTATTAACTCGGCAAACACATAAAATGTCAGGGAAAAAAAAACACCTGATAAACCACATGATCACCCACTTACTCATCTTTTAAAGCCACCAGTACAATCAAACATACAAAACCAGTCAACCCATTCAGAGTCTTACAGAGATTACAGGTCATTCTGTGAGGGAATGTCAATGGCTACAGAGATATTTGTCAAAAATAATATGATCCCCTTTCAAAGAAGTGACAAAACTTATAAGAAAAGGACTCCATTCCTTGCAATATCATACTTCTCTATTACTTAGCAATTCGTCACGGAGTCCAAATATTACTCAAGAAGAGAAAGGCATCGCGTAAAAGACTGGCTTCCACTGACTTTTATAAGATTCTCTTAATTTGCCCTAAACTGACTTAATTTAAACCACAGTGTAAATATTTCCAAAATTAAATTATGCAACCCGTTCTTCTGCTGGTATTGCAAGCAGTACGCATTTTGTGAATGAAGTAACTTAACCATTATCTTGGTATTTTGGGACTAACCAATATGGGATTGGGCAATATCATATGAAAAATATAACATAAAAAATATGCTTTAATCCTCTTGAGCTTGTTGGTGCTTACATAAAAACGTTCATCTTCCTGAATGGTGTTAGTGAGTCATTCTCCAAATCCAAAAAAAAAATCCTGAACTGCTCATCTCCGTTATCATGGCCTCTGGTGGCAATAAAACCTTCTACTGTGGGTGTCCTTTTACGGTTATTAAAGCTTAGACCTTCTCCCCAACGGCAACAACGTCACTGGTTTCCACATAGCTGAGAAGGTTATGATTACAGAAAATTCCAACATTCATATAAAAAATGTAAATGATAATCTTGGCTCCACAATGTAGTTGAATTTGTTTGCTTTGTTCAAAATACAATAGGCCCTACTCATTATCGCACTGTAGACCCTGTCATAACGTAATGAATCAATGTTTCTGTATTCCAGTATAACCCTGTTACAAGAATGTTGTCAGGCAGAACAACAGTCACTGACAAATCCTGTGAAAAATATTTCGATTTTAGGCAGAAATATGGTTGAGTACCAAGACCCAGTGTCAATATGGCAGTGGCTCTGATGCAATTGGTATGTACCAAACCATACTGCAATGCAGGTTTTAGTGCTTCATTCTGGTGCCACTTAAATGCCTGAGCTGTCAATTGACATAATGGGGGAACAGCATCAAATTTAAGGAAGTATCTGGTGATGCCCAGGATTTACCTGAACGTAGAGGGATGCACCATCGTATTTTGCCAGATAAAACAGATATAATAATATTTCTGCAAAAAAATTGCTGAAGTTAGAAGTCGGTGTTTATTATTACTATAACTTTAATTGGTGTTATGTGTTTTGTATTTATTTATATATTTAAGGTGTCACGTTAATATATTGTTCAATTTGCCTTGTAAATGAAAATATTTCTATAAAGGCTGTCAGAACCCCCCCCCCCCCCCCCCATCCTTAATAATAATAATAATAGAGGTTTCGCCTGAAGCAAAGCTATCATAATGGTTTAATACCGTTAACATTCATACATGTATCAGCTGTTAAATGTATTGCCTGATATCCAGCATGAATGTTAAAAACAGCGTGAAGCACGTTTGGACATGATGAATTGTAATAAACTGGAAAAGATGTAACAGAAAAACTGCACGATTCGGTCCAGATGAACACAGTGTTGCTGTTAATGCCCATTACTGAAAACACGACAGTGAAAAAAATAATGCAAATGATGGCATAGAAAGTCTCGTCACGCATCATTGTTGATACTTTCTTAAACTCTTTCCACCAGTTTTACGTCAGTGACCCCATGTTTACACCAAACTGAAAGCAAATTATGCAAATACGTGCTAGAGACCATTTATCTAACTGAGAACATGACCAGAGGCTCCATTTGATTTCCAGCAGAGGCTTGGCCTTTACAAGTAATTAAAAGCCATATCAAGCCCACAGCATAAACAAACTCACAAAGACAGTGCAGTATTAAGTCTGTCATGTAATTCAGACAATTCAGTCATTCTGCCGTCTGTCTAGCTGTATTTTAAACCACTGAAATGCAATTCAGATTTTCAAAACTCACTAATTTTCTGTAAACAATGCACAACAATCACAGGCAAGAACCAGGTTCTACAACAGATCATGGGCAATATTTATGTCTCCTCGGCTCCAGGAAAAGCCACTTGAAAGCCTAAGAATTAAAGATATATAATTTTAGTATTTATCCATACGTCCATTTTCTGTACCCCTTGTCCTGTGCAGGGTTATGGGGGTCCGGAGCCTATGCCTGAAGCTACGGGCACAAGGCAGGGAATAACCCAGGATGGAGCGCCAACCCATCGCAGGGCACATGGCAGGGAGTAACCCAGGATGGGGAGCCAACCCAAAGCGTGATGTTAGTCCAGCACATTCTTTTAATCATTTAAAAATGAAATGTTTCCAAAAATGTATCCGTAATCCTTTTGTGATACATATTGAAGTTTTTTGCTTATTCCAACAGCGTCTACAAAAGCAAATACAGCAGGATTGCATTCTGATAAGCCTATCACGACCTGAAAATATCGTAAGGCGAGAGTGCATTTCGATAAAAAGTACATCGAACCTAATAAACATCATAGCCTAACCTAGCCTACTTTAAACACGCTTCGAACAATTACAGTAGCCTACAGTTGGGCAAAAATCATTAACACGAAGCCTGTTTTATAATAAAGTGTTCAATATCTCATGTGATTTACTGAATAATGCACTGAAAGTCAAAAACATTCATAAAGTAGAAATATCGTAACACGGACCATCGTAACCCGCGAAGCGTCACTATTACTTTTGGTCCTAAAGCTCTAATATAGTTATAAGATTAAAGTTACAGTATACATCCAGAGTGGAGGTGACATAAAATCGCAGTGAAAGAGTAACATAAAGCCACTGAATAGTAAATGAAACAGTGGCAAATGTGAGCCTTCCGGCACATGGGGGCGCTGCAATTACGAGCCAAGCTCTCACCTGGGCGAATAGGTAGGCCATGACACAGTCGTCCAACACGGGCGTCTCCGAGCCCTTGGTGGCCCCATATCGACACGCACTGGAGGGGTCATTAGTAAACCAACCAGGGAAGTAGTACCTGTGTGGAAGAGGGATGAAGGATTATAGACGTTGACCCTTTGACTGAGTCACGGTTGTACTTCATACGGACCATAACGAGCCAAAGAATACCTGAAGCAACACTTCAAATTTTATTAAAACAGTGACATACGACTGCATCGATTTCTGAAGTCCTCAGAGTAAAAACAACTAAAAAGGTCGCTTCAATTCTCTGCCATAAACTCCCCCAAACTAAAACATTATTTATTTGTAATATTATTCCTGTTTTTCTCAGATTAACCTCACCGGATTCTGAACACCAGGTCCTCACGAGTCGTTTCATCAACGTGGAAGACGTGATTCGGCGCAAACCACATTTGGTCGGCCTCTCTCATCAGCACGAACATGTTGCAGTACATGGGCGCCACATCTAGGGGTAAAGAGACTCAGATCCGTAACTGTTCCCAGAATCCCGGTCGGCTTTGCCCACTTGGGTGAGAATGAGATCATCAAGCAGGGAAAGCGTGAACACTGGTTACTGTACCTGGACTGAGCTGAAAGAGTCGTGGACTGGATGTCCAGGCGTAAGTCACACTTAAAAGGATTCCAAAGTGTTTACAAATAGAATTATGGTTCCCATTGCTGATATTTACAAAAGACACACTGATACATTTGGTCGTTAAGAGGCAACAGAAAGAGGTGAGAAGGTTTGTGATGCTTCTTTAGCATTAGCTATAAAAACGTTAGGATATCCAATATGAAGACGTGTAAATTAAAACAGGTTGGTGCATTTTTAACAGTAAATATTAATCAACATAGCAATGAACAACAGTAAGATTGAAACTCCCATTTTCTCAGATGAAGTTGGCTAATCAGGGAACTAATCTTAGATCAGATTGCTTAATTTCACTCTAAGCTGTTAGGATGGGAGGTGCAACATGCAAAAACAATTATCCTGCCTTTACTTCAGTACTTATGTTCGCGGGTTATTTTTAAATTTGTACCATATTGATCTATGGCCATGTTATTGATATGGAGACTTTCGTGAATACAACCACCAATTATAGACCGAGTTCCACTCCAACGGCCGGGTCTTTAAGCGAAATGGTCACTAAGTGAAAATCATAGCAGCCTAGACAGGACTGCGACTTCACTTCAGCCATCCATACCTAATTACTTTTATGCTTTATAAAGTGGACATTTTTCTCTAAATTTTGTTCAATCTGCTTCAATGATCTCTCTCACTCTGGATCAGGGGTATGAAATGTTGTAAATGCGCGCACTGCTTGGAAAGTGTATTTCTTAATGTTGTATTTATAATTGTATTTTGCGAACGGTTGCTAATCAGGGTAGATGCTAAACGAGAAGTGGTCAGATCATGTTTGTGTCTATCAAAAATTATGACATTATAAAAGGTAAAAGAATTGGCACTCTTGTTACCAGAATTACTATTATGCAATCAGCGATTGCTGTCGAGATCATACGATTAGCACAGTATCTCAGGTCTGGGGACACAGTGCATTGCATCAGCCCGAATGGGTTTGGCACAGACAGGCAAGTCATGGAGACAAGCCCACGCAGCTTAAATAGGGGCGAAACTGCAACACTTCAGCACAATGTTTTTTTCCCATAATGCCTTTCCGAGGGGGGGGGGGGCGACAGAAATACACGGGAACAGAGAAAGAAAACAGCAGTTATCGACTAAAGAGCAGCAGGGTGCAGAAGTGCATAGCAGCACATGACAGTGAAACGCAAGAGAAAAAGAGGATGCAAAACAGGATGTGGTGGCAAACTGCACAGGAAGTGGAGAGCGACCTGGGAGGGGCCTGACGGCAGCCCCACGACATCGGGGCACCAACAACGCAAACAGCGAGAAAAATTAAAGTTTCGGGCTGACATAACGTGTCGAGTGCGTGCCGAAACTGATGGGAGTGGGCAGCTGCAGATGGATCAAAAAAACAAAAAATTAAATGACAGTGGGGTGGGGGTGGGGGGGAAATCCCCAAATTCACTGCTTAGAAAAGGTCAGGGTGAAGCCGTGGCGATGTTTTTATTTTAGCGTCTGCCCACGCAGTCAGGACTATCGGGCTGACTTCACCTCAGAAAAAAATCTGTCCTGCCTTTACACTAAACACAGCACCTGTATCTAAAGCTTATTCTCATCCCAGCTCTGTGATGACATGTAACGTCGAGAGAATATGCTCCACCTATGGCTGACAAACATAAAAAGTTAAAAAAACCATATATTAAATACACTGATAATAGATCAGCTGAAACATAAAGAAGTACGTGATTCAAAACAAAAGTTTTCACTCATGTTCTGCTACTGTGGTTATTTGTGGTTATTTTTTGCAGGATATGCTGGCAGCCGGTTTTGTTCGTTGACCCAAAGAACAAAAGCAGAAACTACAGAGGATCAGATTTCATCACCAACAGACTCACAGGAAGACAGGATGACAGAGCAAACCATGAATTTCACAGGAACCTAGAGTAACTTGTAGAAGGTGTGCTCTACCAGTGATATCTAAATCCACTGACCTTACAGCTTTGGCAAGATTTTATGGGTCTAGCCACACAGTCTGCCACAAACAGAGCACGACGGCGATATTTCAAGCCACCACCCCCCCTGCAGCGCCTACCTACCGCACTCCTTGGCTGCATCAATGCAGAGATCCTCAGCCACATATTTCCCGGGGGGGTACGAAAGGGGGGTGCGTTCCGCCTCAGCCTGGCTGCTGTAGTACAGGTACACCTTCAACGCCGCCCCACCCTGCTTCGGGTCGCAGGGACAGCTGGAGACGCCACCGTTCTGATGGAACAGGGAGCCCGTCGACATCTCCATGTCTATCAGCGGTCACATCCACCTGCGGAGGGAGTCCAGGGCGGAGGTCAGGGTTCGAGCTGGAAGGCTCATACGCAGAAACGCGCCAATTAGCCAATGGTTAGTAGCACTGTATTCCCCTACATCTCTGCACCAACTTCCAAAGTAAGAACCTCCAGAATAGAAAGACTTTATGCTAAAGTATATAGATTATAAGTGACTGGTAACCTCCACTCCAGCCTACCCCATGCTACTGGTGCTTAACAGCATGTTTCAATCTACTAGCACCATTAAAACTTAGGCAAAATCTCTTCTCTGTATGCTGAGGATTGGTGTTTTCCCCTCTCGTAGATGGACACCCTGCAAACATCCCTCAGTTACAGTTATTCTTGAATTGCTAAAACACTAAACCCAATTCTTGGAATAAAACCGTCAAATGCAAGAACTCTAAACGCACTCTCATTCATCAAAATACACGTGGCGCTGTGGTGAGCGTTCCGGCAAAATGGAAAACACAGACCGTTGAAGTTACACATAACTAGCACACAATATCATCATTAAAACAGTGACTGAAAACTGTTAACACAAGTTTCTAAGCGTGTCAAAACGCCAATGAGAGACTGTAACAAAGAACGTGTGCTGGATGAAAGTGCAAGTATCAGAGTGGAGGGGAATTTCAATATCAAGGTATGAATGTGTCAGAGCAGAAGACTCCTTCCCCGTTGCCCGACAAGAGAGAACATTGTCTGTGATGTAGATGACGCTCTAAACCCTGACTGAGACATGATGATGAGGCAGAATTACTATTCTTCCTTGACTTTAGTTAGGCAGTTGTACAACATCTGTCCTTTAAAGTACCTTTTTGGGAGTGTGGAATACAGTAAAATCCCGTTATACTGGACTCGTTTATAACGGAATATCGTCTATAACGCACGAGGTCCGCTGGTCCCAGCCGTGCGCCTTTAAGAACTTGCAGAAAAACCATTGGATATAGCGGACTCTCATATAATGGAATTTCGCTTATAATGGACAAACAATTTGGTCCCCAGGGCCGCTTTTAGCTGTAGTTTTGTTCAGCTATAACGGACATGCAGCTCCGCCTACAAGGCGCGTGGCGTGCCGGTGATATCCAGCGCAGATACGTAGTCGGGATTATTAATAGTTACACATCTGGTCGGGTTTACTGCATGTATAATATAATTATCTATACCACAAGTGTGTCTGCTGGAGTGTGGCATGAGTAAATGGTGTCCTGTAGTTGTGTTCTGGGCATACAGCAACTCTGGATATAACGGACTTTGGATGTAACGGACTGTTTTGCCAGGTCCCTTGAAGTCTGTTATAACTGGATTTTACTGAACTGCAGACATTACAAACCGTTTTATGTATACAGACTAACAATGACTCGCAGATACAACCAAGCAGGGCTGTGCTACCTAAGGCACAGTGTGGTGTTATGATATTGCCGCAGCAAAGTACAGTACTGTATGGCGAGATGTCCATCCCTGCCTCACATACATCTCTCAGTCTCACACCTAAAAGGCAGAGCGATTGTCCCTTTCTGATGTAACTCCATTTCGACATACCACCTGTCTGTTGGAAGATGAGGGAACCACTCTGCAGTTGTAAACAAACATTTTTGCTAAGCAAGCATTTTTTTTTTAACTACCGTCTTGTGCAGCCGGTGTCCAATTTTACAAGCATGCAAAACCTTCCATATCCACCGTAAACATGTTTCTCTACAAGGGGGGATCAGTTTTGGCTTGGAGTATTTTCTATTTTCTGCTATAGTGTGTATGGAATACTCAGTGGTGTTAATGTATTGACTAGCTTTGTATGTGATATAATGCAGTGATTGGTTTTGGGCAAAGACTAAATAATTTTGAGTAGACTGATTTTGCTAGACAAGCCAAAGGTTTTGTGAATGTAGTTTGAAAGTTGGGTTTGTGTTTATTGTTTTGAAAAAAACATGGAAGGAACGTGCTTTAACAATTCAGCTAACTGCAATTAACTTAATTTGAGTGAATTTGTGTTGGTTTAGAAAAGGTAGTAATTTTTCCCATGTCATGTAATGTGAACAGTGTCTCCAGTTACAAATTTTCACCTTCCACACCGATTTTAGGGAGGTACGTTTGTAGACAAACACCTTTCCCTTAATATGGTATTAGAAAAATTACCGCCCAATGCAGACCAATATAAATTCACTCAAAAAAAACATTAATAAGGATGCAGATCCATGCGTTATGAAGAGCATCATTCAAATAAAAGTTGCCAACTAGTCAATCGTCCATCCATCCATCCATCCATGCTCCTCATCAGGCCTAAAGACTGTTCCTCTCAGCATAAACACACAAAAGCAAATAAACACTAAGGGAACTTCAGAGATGCTAATTAGCCATCACTGGACTGCGAGTGGAAAATGGAAGTACACAGAAGATGCCCACACCGTAGGGTAAAAAGCAAACCCCCACCCTGCCTCGCTACCTCCACCATAGTGCCCAGGGACTGACTAGTGAGGCACAGTAATTATAAAACATGCCCTTTCTTTGCTAAATCATTCAAGATATTGGTCATACACCAGTATGATAAGCATTTTGGTGTTGATGTTGTTTACAAGAGCATACATTATACTTAATTAATTAGACTTAATTTCATGAAACTAGCGCTTCCCATCATAATAGAATAATAGAATAATTATACAAAATAATTATACTTAATATGCTTACTCAAAATCTGGCCAATAAAATAAGATAAAGAAGGCTACAATTCACTTACCATTAGAAGAGCAACATTTGCATGGGGATTAAGCGTGAGAAGCCAAAGGCAGACAGGCGGTAAGAGGAGAGTGTGGGATGCGTTTATGTGGGAGGTTTGGAGGCTTTGAAGAGGTCTGAAAAATAAGTGCCAAACATGGTAAAGGCTACGTGAACCTTCACTCACCACGCGATTGCAACAAAACGCCAACCACGTAAAATACGTCAATTACATCATAACACATACAGGAAGTCGTTGATGACAAATGCAGAAAAATACTGATCATTGAAGAAGCACAGAGACGTTCATTTATTTAGTAGATCAGCGAGGGTCAGCCAGTCGCTTAGCGAGGGTCAGCCAGTCGCTGGAGTAACTGGGAATAAGGGTCTAGCTCTTTAACTCTAACAAAAGGCCAAAGATATGTCTGAAATTTTCTAAATGAAAAGAAATATGGAAATTTATTTATTTACCAGATGCTTTTGTCGACAATATACAAGTGAGGCAGACAGAACATTACAATCACACAGCTGTCAGAGTCGACTAGGCGGAGGTGCAGCCCGGTCGAGCTTCCAATGAATACCCAGGTCCATGAAGCGCAACAAAAGACGAAGAAAATTCCCAGCAACTATTTGCAGCTATATGCTAATTTTACATATCAAAAATGACATGAATATGAAACTGACATCCACTAACCTCATGACTCAAAAGCTGTGACGTTATTGCCAAATCACAGAATAATGCATAGCCCTGCCCACTTGCTTAAAAAACATTTTAGGATTTAAGACGTTTCAGCTCTGTCATTTTTTTAATTGCGCAAACAAAATACAGAATTCAATTTAATTTCTTAAAGTGACACAAATTTCCAACACTTTCAGAGAAATGCGGACAAACTACCTGCCAGTATGTTGAAAGTGCATTAATCCATTGTCCTGATCTTTTGCAAGTTGTGCTAATGTTCCAATTACCTGTAAGTTTTGCTGCCCCGTGGTTTTTAAGAGGTCAGTAGGTAGCACTGTCACCGCAAAGCCCCAAGGTTAGGGCTGTGAACCCACCTCCAGTGTCATCCTGCAAGGTTAGGGCTGTGAACCCACCTCCAGTGTCATCCTGCAAGGTTAGGGCTGCGAACCCACCTCCGGTGTCATCCTGCAAGGTTAGGGCTGTGAACCCACCTCCGGTGTCATCCTGCAAGGTTTTGCACATTCTCCCCGTGTCATGTGAGTTTCTTTCCAGAGTCGGGCTAACAGCTGTCTCAGTGCTGCCTCTATGTGTGTGTTTGTGTGTGTTAATGTTTATATTACATGGCAGGGACCAAATGCCCCCCACAATGTGATAAACCCTGTTATTGTGATATTCTGGGGACCATTTTTCAGGTCCCCACAAAGACCTGTGCCTCTCCCTTGTGCCCTATGCTCCAGGTGATATCGAAACATCACCTGAAGGTAAAATATAATAATTAGTTTAGATGAGATTAAATATCAGATTAACTTCATCAAAATCTCCATACTCCATCTCCATACTCTCAGGCGTTTCCCTTTTTTTGTGGTTAACCAATAAAATTCAATAAAATAAAACTACCTTATTACTTGCCTGACTTAATGAAATGCATTTTCTGAAGCTTATACATCAAAGTCACAATGAAATAGACAGGAACTTGATTTGACGCTCACAGCACCAGGGGAATTCTGGAAAATTACTGGGAAATTTCCACCAGCTCACTGGCCATTAACCCACAGCCGTATGATTAACAGAAACTACCCAGGCGTCTCCTGTACGTCAACACCAGCTCACTGGCGATTACTTATAAACTCTGCACACTCTAACCACGCTGCAGCTTTTCTGATGACAAACGCAACAACAAAGAAAATATGCAGAAATTCATCAAGTGCCCCATACAGTAGAAAAAAAAACTTGTTAAATATTTCATTCATGAATTAACTTCAGAACGACTCAACCTCAGTACTGTGAATTCCCCGGATCTATGAGGCCCCCACCCCGGATGATGCTCATTGATGAGTCTTTCCACATCTCTTTCAATAATTCATCATCATTTCATAAAAATTTCCATTAACATCCATCTGAAATATATATTGGGTAAGAGTCAGTAAACCTGCTAATAGATCAATTGTCCAAACCCTAATCCAATCCCAGAAGATCTGGCACTTGGCAAATTTACATTAAACGCTGCTGTCATCATGCAAGAGCTACAAAGTGAATCTTTACATCAAAAGTGACTATTTAATAGCTACATTGTACAGCAAAGTTAAGTATCTCCCTGTCATGTAATTAAATGTAATTAAATCCTTCCAATGATCCAAACCTGCACATTTCATTCATTAAATCAAATCTTTTAACTTTCATATTGGCTCACTCAACTTCACAAGACATTATGTTCAGTAAATACCCATAAATTGGGTTCTCTAATAGTAAATCGTTATGTTAACCCCAGACACATAAATTTACCTGAGTATAATTATTGTTAAATTTACTTATATAACGCTTAAAACAAAAAATGCACAATATATTTAAAAACTACAGTTCTAGCATCCTGGTACCGTTTCTCGTGACGTCAGCATTCAGTCTCTGCTTTTTCTGTTACTTTACCTGTGACAAATGGCACTCAGATGGTCCACATGCTTTGTAAAGTGTCAGATTTACTCTCATGGTTGCCCATCGCTGCCCTGACGTACATCATCCAAAAGGTGGTCCTGCCTGTTTCTGCTACACAATCCCCACAGAGCTGGGAGGATGTGCCTCTCGGCCAGTGATGTAAGACGCCTCCCCCAAAGCAAGATCCTTTCGAGGCTGGTCCAGCGTCTTATTATCTCCCTAAGGTTCCAACTAGCAGGGCATCAGGATGTCAGAACTGCCTCTGAACGGCTCTATAACCAACTGCTCCATTAACTGAACTTAGAATTTCATTCTTCAGGCTTCTTCTTGAGTAATCAGTAAATGAGTGTTGTAGTTATACCTCAACAGGCATTACTACTCTGCCTTTTTGGAGCAAATCACTTCCTCCTATTCAACACGAAGCTCAAACCCTGCCTTACCACCCTGCTCCCTGATCACGCCAGTGGTTTGGCTCCCATTCAGCTACTTGCCGACCTGCGGTTTGCATGTGTATCCGGGGAGGGGTTGAGGTGACACCCATTGAGGCAGAGAGTCAGGTGACAGCTGCCCTACATTATTGTTGGCTTTGCTGCCTTTCACCCGGCTCCCATGCCAGCTATTTCGTTGAACCGTCCCTTCTCTTGGTTTCCCAGTAACCAGACCAGGGGAAGCCCTGCAAGCTGGTGAGTTGTGTTAAAGCAAAGCAAACAACCCCC